TGAAGCTAGATTGATGAATCGACGACTAATTTGCTTTATTAATGAAAATGTCATTGTTGAATATGATAAATTAAGAAAACATTATACTCCAGTACTTAAATTATATTTCAATATAAAGTTAAAAAAGAATTATTGGAATAACTAAAATTATCCATTTGAGTAACTTTAGTCAATTCCGTCACAAAAATAACTGCAGCCTTAATTCTTTTGGTTATTACACAACTAGCTTTCAAGCCCGTGTGATGCATGGGCAGATGTAATTTAGCTAATTTGAAATTTAATTTCTTTCGGATCATATGTAATGTGATTTAAACGAAAAATAAACTTAGTCTAATATAGAGTCTGTTCGATAATACTAAAATAAATTGAATTAACTTATTTTACTCAAATTGATTAAATTATGACTGAATGAGCTAAATGAGTGGAATCATGAAAAAATATGTAAAATATATTCCATTTGTGAAGCCAGAAAAAGATTATGTGAAAAATAGTTAAATTGATCTTCTACATAAGCATCTCGAGTAAATATAATTGCTATGAACCCGATTTTAAACGTTGAATATAATCTTATGAAGATGGATATTCATAGAAATTTAATACGGAGTACATATATTAAGTAAAATAGTCTAAATATAGAGCCTGTTTTTTTAAATTGTAAGCCTAAATGTATACGATAAAATTTAATTGTTATAATGGAATTAAAACGTTTAATTCGAACACATAATTCTAAGCCTAAACATATACTATAACATTTAATTGTTATAGAAATTAAAATGTATTGTATTTTTGGCTAAGAATACCTGTCATGAATAAAGTTAGCCTAAAATAGAGCCTGTTTAATATAGTACTTTCGACGGATTTTTGTTTCCATATCAATATGCAATCAAAAATAGAATCTAGCTAATAAAAATAGAAGGTACAAATTAATTAAATAATTAATATATATATAATGACATTGCAGGATTATGTGGCGCTTTGTATGCTCTTAAAAAGTTCCTCTTATATATATATATATATATATATATATATATATATATATATATATATATATATATATATATATATATATATATATTGATTAGCGCATGAAATTAAAGTTACATTTTTTTTTTGTGAAAAATCAAATAATTAATAATACTGATAAGCTCAAAATAAGGTTACCAAATGCGGTCGAAATATATGGATTATTTTTGGCTTCTTAAGAGCCCGTTTGGTAGCACGAAAATCGGCTGATTTGGCTGATTTTGCTAAAATTTATGAAGTTATAGCTGAAGTGAATGTCGTTGGTTGATTCGGTTGTTTTAAAAAAAATAAAATATATTTTATTAATAAAATAAAGAAAAAATTGTATGTAAAAATAGTTAAAATGGTCATCTATAGTAACTTCAGCCAATACAGCCACAAAAGTAACTCCAACCTTACTTTTTCTGCTTATTACACAATTCAGCGTGAGAAAGCAAAAATTACGTGTTTGGTGAAAAAGTTCGCTGATAAGCTTGATAAGCCAAAAAATAGTGTTGCCAAACGGCCTCTAAAATAAACATACATTGCTCTACTTCATTTCCCAAACTTCAGTACTTACTACTTCATCGCGGATCGGTTTTTTATTAAACTACTGCCAGTCTTAAATCACATCACATCAAACATAATTAAAAAAATTAAACAGACCACACCATAAAATTTAAACATATCATATCATATCAAACATAATTAAAAAAAATTTAAACAGACCACACCATAAAATTTAATTCTAACTAAAAAAAACTTCCGCAATTTTTATGAAACAATTTTCTACTTTTTTCAAACTATGATGACTATAGACTTCTATTTCATTCTATTTTGTGTCACTTCTTTTCCATTCTTTTCCATTTGTTCCAATATGCCGTTGAAATGTTATCATTGTAAAATAGCACGGTTATTCAAATAATAATTAAATATGATAATTCCAGTATGTTTTGAGAAACAAATTTAACATTTATATAATATAATGAGGTTAATGGTGATAATTGTGATGTTATAGATGTATCCTTTTAATATTTGATGATATATTGTCATTTAAGAGTGTTAATTGTTTTCTAAAAAAGAAATGATAATCTTAATATGGGACATCTAAAAAAGAAAGTGAAAACCTTTCTATGGGAGAGAAATTATTATTTTATCAAATGAATAAAAATTGGAAAAATACATATATATATATATATATATATATATATATGAGTAAAACTCATGCCAATTCCTAAAGTATGACCATGGATGACCATGGATGTTTCTTTCTTTCTCAATATATGACTAAATGTGTATGGAATGAAATAAGAAAAAGGAAACACTCGGTGGTATGATACATGTTATTTGGTATTCTTTAGGGAAACACAATGTTTTGGTCATATATACAAGGGGTAATTTTCTCAATATCAATCATATAAATTTAATTTTCTTAATAACATCATCACATTTTTAATAAGTTCAATATCACTCACAAGTAGTTAATAACATCATACAATGTCATACCCTTGCTATTGTATTCTTTTTTATATTTTTCTCTTGCATTTTTTCATTACAAAAACGTAACACATACCTTACCGTGCGATGCACAGGTACACACACTAGTTATATAAAATTGTAGAACCAAATGTAACATGAATATGAACAACTATCTAGCTACATCATACCCGAGAAAAATCTATAATGTGTTGAGCTTTAAATTTTCAAAGATATGATAATTTAAAATCAAAGTATATGTGAATCTCTCAATTTGCACCCCCAATATATTTGACAAAATTGTAACGATCCCACACCGGTTAAGTATGGGCTTGACCGGTGGCTTATAAGCAAGGTGTCCCCTCCTCTTAATCGGCTGATCTTTTAGGAGTGAGTTCTTCACCTGGGCTTATGGCACTGGTATGGGCCTAGTATGGGCTAAGTCTTTATAGATCAAGGAAGAAAATTGTACAAAGCAGAGTAATGAATGAAAAATACCTACAATATTATTATGTATTAATAGGTTAGAGGATTATATTGTAACAATGTAACTTATTATGAATTTTATGCATACATAGGCGGACAAACCGAAAAACTATATTGGAAGGGATTCATGAAGCAACGACCAGGACACAATGACCAGGGCAAATAGAAAGTAAATTCTTTCGTTTAAGTCAACTCAGGAAATCAATTGCGCTCAATTTCATTTGATGAGGATGGATTTAACTGGCTGTGTAATTCTTTTAGTAAACTTCAAAATGGAGAGTCGGGTTTACGGGGTTTGAGGGTTCTGGTAAAATTCAGCTTTCTTGTCGCACTAATTAATTTTGGCAGATTCACTCGCATTATGAATACACTTATACGCCCATCATAGTCCCAGAAGGTTAGCATGTAAAAGGATTTATTCATTTTAATTTCGCTTTGAAGATTTTGGGGCTAGTGTAATTTTTTTTAATTCAGTTGATTTTTTTAAATTATTTGGGAGTGATCGTAAGGAAAGATGTGAGAGTCCTAGAGGAAACTATCGCTAAATTATTCTCAATGAGGACGGAGTTTTTGATATTGTTTCTCTGGACATGGAGTTTTCAATTAATGTTCAGAAGAAGTGATTGTCTTCAAGCTAAGGTTGATAGTATTACTTAAAGTTTTGCTTGCAACTTCATTCCTTTAGATGGAGTGTGCGTTAGGAATGGAAATTTTCGTAAAAAATGATTTTGAGCATTTTGGGAGACGAGTTAGTTCGATTTCTTTTAGCACTGCCAAGATATACTCGTAGTTTAGTTGACTTTATGATTGAGTTACCATCATGGGGACTTAGGAGTGGGCGTTTCTTTTCTTTATTCTTTCATTAGTGTTTTGCTCTTCTTTGACTATATTTGTTCTCAAATATTCTCCTTTCATCAGGGTTGTATTTTCTGTTTAAATAACTATTTTAATAAAATTCAGTAAGAGATTCTCAACTCTTACTCCATCGTCTTTGGTGGTTTACTGTTTATAAAAAAAATAAAAAAAGAATATTCTAGTGAGAACATATTTATAAATGAGAACTTTTAATCCACACCTTTCAAATTTTCAATCACATGTATTCTAACCAATCGAATAAAATGAAAGGTTGTAATTCAAAGTTCTAATTTTAAATTGTGTTCTCAGGAGTTGTGTAGACTGTAGACTACTATGCACTGATTGTTCTTTTTTATCTATATATAAGCAAAAAAGAAATAACGCAAGGGAGTATAATTTATAAATATATTAGCTATTAAGTAAAATATTGAGACCCGCATACACGTGCGACCGCATGGTTAGTGGTGCTGAACCAATCAAATTGACATCACTAATGATAACTCATCCAGGGGACACTAATTAAGCATTGGCCGTGTTAGTGGGCAGCACTAAGATAACTTGAAGGGTCATGCTCAATAATTCCAAGGCATTCATAATGGCTTTGTCTTGGATTGTTTAGACCACACGACGCTATCTCAGGATCCCACCAGAAATGTATCATTTGTATATGCCTCTCGTTTGTCTCTGTGGCCATCATTTTCTAAACTTCTCAATCCATACCACCCATGGGTCAGCCTTGCAGTTTGTACAATTTAACCTGCTCTTTATGATACGGAGTATCTGATTTTTTTAATGTTCAATGCTCTTTATGATATCTGATTTTTTATGATTCTTTTGTCATGCCTATCTTTTCATTGACTGATTTCTTGGACACAAAAAGCCAAAAGTCAGCCAGCCAGAAGAGAAGAAAGAAACGTGTACGACTACATCTTATTGGATGTCAAGAAGGGGAAGAGATATGAACCGCAGGCTGGAGGTTTCATTGAACCAAGGGGTGTGGTGGGGAAGGGCGGGGTCCGGATACTAAGTATTCTAACAGTTCTTGAGTAAATACCAAGTATATTAGCTAAACAGGGTGTACAATAATGTACATACATGGGTGCATGAACAGAAACCTGATAGGTAGCTATCATCAGGGAAGAATAATATGTCAACATTGAAATTGATCTCTATTGCTTGCAGCTGAATGTCCATAGTTACCTAGCTGAGCTTTCAGCTTTGTTTGATGCAGCAGAAGTGAATGTAACTGGAGTCAAGGGATTATCCCTCACAACCAAGCTCAGAACTTCCGGCCTCGAGTAGTGTCCAACCACATCAAAGCTGAATTTCGCCCTCGCTATTTCTCCAAGATCTGTGAACCATGTGACTGAATGATTAGAATCATTTTAGTCAAACGTAAAAAGGGCAGCCTGATGCACATTCTTTAGTCAGACATAATGAAGCAAAAAATGTTTACTACCAAACGGAAATGCTCTGAATGCATAGAAACAAGTATTGAAAATGTAAAGTGATTCCATGGCATATATACTCAAGCTGTCATTAGAGCCAAGTCCAAGCAATGTTCAAGCTTGACTCGAGCTCGATTGATTGAAGTTTCAAACTCAGATCTGAGCTTGAACTCAACTCATTTCAAACTTGAGGGGAATTAAGGCTTGACTTGTTTTCTCAAATAAACGAACGAAGTTCGAGAGGCTCTTTCATAAAACAGCACCTGAACTACTTTACCACTAAATAGAATGCATAAAAGTCCAAATATTAAAAAATGGCTACGCGCCAAGCTGATAGCAAATTGGTGTCTAGGCAAAGCATACGCAGGAGTAGGCAAGGTCAGTTTTAAAAAAATGTAGGTGGTCGGGGGGGCTAGTGCCTAGCTGAGGAACTTTTATAACAGAGATGTAGCCAGAAATGTACCCAAGTCAGCGGAGATGAGTGCCTCCCCATCATAATTCGGCCCAGCCAGCACAGTTCCAAAAGGTGAAATAATGACACTGCCACCAGCACACACAACGGAATCAGGAGTCAGGTCCCCTTCTATGTCAGAGAAGACGTACTCTGGAGGAGGCGGGTAATCTTTCCTTCTGCAGAACTGATTCGCTGATAAAACAAAGCACCCACCCTCAAGGGCAATGTGAGTCATGGATGCTTGCCACACATCCCGTGCATCAGCAGTTGGTGCACAGTATATCTCTATCCCTAGAAATTTGAAGGTGCCATAATATTAGGACTTAGGAGCCTAAGACAAAAGTAGGGAGAAGGGCAGAAGAACACTGTAATAGTAATACTAACCCTTAGCATACATTGCAGTCCTGAGAAGTGGCATTCTGTTCTCCCAGCAAATTGCTGCACCAATTTTTCCAATTGGGGTCTCGAAAACTGGAATTGTTGATCCATCTCCAAACCCCCAAATTATACGTTCCAATGCAGTTGGCATTACTTTCCGGTGTTTTCCAAGGAAATGACCTTGAGAATCAAAGAACAAAACCGTACAATAAAGTGTGTATCCATCTCTTTCGATGACACCTATCACTAAATAAACCTTATATCTTCCAGCCATTGCTGCTAACCGATCAACTTCAGGACCTGCAATCAGTAACTATGAGAGAGAGAAAGGCAGAAGATTGGGAGGGTGGAAATATGACTACCAAAACCATAAGTGTTAGCAAGAAAAAAAAACACAAATTAAGTATCATGACATTACTGCATGTAGGGTGCACTAATCAATAAGACTACTGAAATAGCAATCGATGCTAAATCATGTGTAAACTTAAATACTGAACCAATCAAGGCTCGTCCGAAAGCAATAACAATAACTGGGAATACCAATTTTGGCAGTCACGCTAGATTTCAATTATTGATTGATTTAGTATCGTGAAATGGTGAATTACTCTTCTAGAACTACAGTTCTATGGGACATCATCAAACCCCTATGGGGCATCAAGCTTTTCCTCAAGCTAGAATGTGGGTAGTGGACTAGTGATAGTGTGATACCAATCTTATATTTCTTAAGGACATAACTATTGTGCTTCATTGTTGAGGAATTGATGTAGAATATATGCATGAGGATAGGCAACTCTGGCAAATATCTCACCATAGAAGATGTAGGAGTTTTTTTAATGTTGACATGTGTAGCAAACTCCAGTTTGGTGTAGGTGGGTTGTGTAACCATTGTGGTTGCCTAGTTGGGGCAAAGATGGAGTCTGGCCGTGTATAGAACCGGAAGAGATTGTGACGTTGTGATGGAGGCATTGTCAGGTCAGAAGCTTTGATAGGTCACCATCAAATCCACTAATTTGGTGAGTTTATTGATCTGGGTTGGAACTTGGAAGTGTATCAACCAACCAACTCCTTGAGATCGCCCATGAAACACCCGACAGCAGAACCAATTTGTTATATACCCAGGCATGGTGTTACGTCTTTGAGGATGTGTCTGCCAAGGCCAGCTCTAGTATAGAAGAAAATAGAGCAATTGGGTTGGTTATTTTTTGGAGATTCCCATCTCCTTTGTTTTTACTAAATTTATTATTGAATGACTTATTCATTAAAGAGGCATCCTGTATATAAGAGTTTTAAGAAATAGAAATGGGAAAGATGGTAAAGAAAGTAGCTTACCAAACTTAAAATCTCTTAGAAAAGAAAGATAGATCAAAAATTCAAATATGAAATAATGAATTCAATCAAGGCTAATTGGGAATCAGTTCATGATAAGTGAAAATAGCAATCAGGGTAATAACCCTTAAGGCTTGGATGTTATTGTTTTTTTTTTTTGTTTTTTTCAATTTTGAAGTAAATGGATGGATGGTAAGGTAAGTGAATGGAAATCGATATGGGTTGCTGACAGAAACAGAAAAGGACAATGGGCACATTTGTTTATTGGCGTTTTGGGTCCAAATCGCTGGAAATACCAGCATTTTGCTTCATTAAAATAATGGCGTTTTGCCCAAAACGCTAGTATCCAAACACCACCAATAGCATGTGACAGTGAAATGTTTAGAGGAAGTTCTCTGACTTCTTGATTATGTTTCTTTAATTCTTCATTATTCTTTATTGCAGAGTATGCAGACTAAATTCCCAATGTGTAGATGGGATTCAACTCTGTAAGAAATCACACTGAAACCCATACAAACCAGTTAAAAATGTGAACTGTAAAATTTAATGAATCAAACACAACAAACCAAAGGATTACCACTTGGAGGGAAATTTTTCTACCTCCATTGTTTCTTTTTCTATGTATGATGGTGTAGTTAGTGTGATATTGCACGTTTGTCCTTCCTAATCCATGCATCATAACACCATTTATCTCTTATGAGTTATGATACACATTCCTAAATATCAAGGTTCTCATGTTCATCACAAAGTTACGTAAAAACACATTGATTCAAATTTTCAAATTTGAGGTTTATGTTCGCAGTTTTAAGTCCAAAAGAAATAACAAACTGTAAGTCCATTTCCAGGTTCAGTTTAAGATTCAAGATTATGTTAAAGTCAAGTTTCAAGTTGCAAACCTAAGTTTCAAATATCATTTTAGTGAATGTATTTATGTCAAGTCAAGTCATTAGAGGGCTATGTTGAAAATATACTTAACAAGCTTAGAGCATATGACATCTTCAGCTTGAGGGGGTGTTGAATATAGCACACGCTGCACACCATTAGCCTTCAAATAAGCACAACTGGGTAACCTAGCTCAAAAATCAGAACTTTGTGAAACTTAGAGTACATCCTCAAACACATTCTCGGCTTGTTTGTCTCAACAGAGTTTTAGCATATAATTGGGCAACTTGAAACCCAAAAGGAAAAAAAATAAGTTCAGTTGTAGACTTGTAACATTAAGATCGGTAGAAATAAAAACAACTTCAATTGTGTGAGCTGTCATTCTTGAGAAATTATAATACAGGCCCCAAATTTTGTGATAGTGTCACGGAAAGAAGTGAAGACAAAGCAAGAACATTGCTGGAGTCCTAATTGGTGAGGTATCGGAATTTACATGTGAACAAGATGATGGATGTTGACGTGATATTGAAAGGAATTGATATATTAAATAGGCAGATTAAAATAAAATGGAAGATAAATAAAAAGGGAGATATTGTTGCAAGAAGATTGCTGGAGTCCTAATTGGTGAGGTATCGGAATTTACATGTGAACAAGATGATGGATGTTGACGTGAGATTGAAAGGAATTGATATATTAAATAGGCAGATTAAAATAAAATGGAAGATAAATAAAAAGGGAGATATTGTTGAGTCCCCTTAAAAGTTAAAACTCCCTGAGGGAGAAATTGTTGAGATCCCATTTGACGCAAAACATCTTATTGGCTAGAGTTGCTACAACCACAAGAATAGGAAACCATTCATGCCAAAACATGTCATGCAAGCAGGAGGGAGCCGGGTATTTCAAAGAAGAGGGATAATGCAGACATGCAGCGCAACGAAAAAAATGTGATAACATCTAAATAAAAATTACTACTCTTCAAGTTTCCTGCGGTTGTTTTTGGGTACAATTAATGAGAAAGTTACATGGTTTTAGGTTTCTTTCTGTTGTGATGATACATTATACCTTCATTATCAGACTATTTAATATGTGAATATAAATATATATGATCAATCCCCTTGGCATTCAATTATCTCTCATACAGAGAACTATTTAAAAAAATTAAAACATTATTTTTAGGACAAAAAATCATAAACAGAGTGTATACAGTACATATACAGGTTTGAAATGTCAAGATGGTCAGAATTAAAAAAAAACATATATTTTACTTATATTAAAGGGGTCAGTTGACCACTTTCCCCCTTCCCTTGTACATGTGTAGCTCATGCATGCGGGAAACTAGGTTACACATGTGCACATAATTTACTGATTCCCTACGAACACGAAACACAAACAGACCCTCTCCTTGCACAATTTAAAATACCAACAATGACTGACCCAACCACATACAAAATTAAAATACACGATTGAAGATAGTGTGCATGATGCACAAATAAGTGGCCCGCCCATTCTAGGCAATTCATTTGTTAATCCAGATATTCCTGACTGATGACAAATTAAATACTGCTAAACTAATTTCCTTGTGAAGATGTTACACCTTTCTTTACATTTTGAAGCAAAATATCATTTTTCTCAAGGGAACGAAACACAATTACCTGGGACATCAATAGCAGCTGCATGATACTTCCGGAACTCCTCATTTCCCTTGGCTGAACGGTTTCCTATTGTGACACCAAAGGTTGACCCACGTGGATAACCACCTATAAATGCTTCTGGAAACACAACCAGCTGGGCGCCATATGAGGCTGCTTCAGCTAGAAGCCTCTCAGCCTTATCTGTGGGAGTTTTGGTTAAACCAATTAGAATTTTTCTATAAAAATTGGTAGTACCAAATAAATATCTTCCAAATGTCACATAGAGATTGCAATAAGAAGTTGCAATTGGCAAAAATGTAAACACCTTCCGGATTTGTACATCACTTCATAATACTCAGACAACTCACTTATTTTAGTGTCTCTGAATTCTTAAGGCACGGGCTTATGGTTTTAACATAAGACAATAAACGATTTAGGCTGCATAAAGCGTTGTAGATTCAGTGACAAAAATAGTCATAGTTTTTTGTGGTATATGCTAAGAAATTCTACTCAATTTTCCATTCTAGAGGTCTATTCTAACTTTGAATGATAACCCTGGGGGTTAAAAAAAGTTTTAACTGCACATAGGTAATTGTAAGCAAGTGCTGACTGTCATATTTGGTGCTTTTAAAAGAATAAAAAAAGCCAGAGTTAAACCACTGTCATGTAATCTTTTCTACAAGTACAACCATGTCACTTTTAATCAACCAGTGAGCTTTCTGGGTTTGCACTAAAAACTTGTAACAAAATTGGTAAAGTATCGACATGCAACAGCATCTTGAATAATTTAAGAATGTGTTCATTTGGACTAAAATTTCTGATCTGGTGTGTACTGAGTTTAAGTAGCAAGCTGACCATTTTAAGTCTAGTCTAGTACGGAGTATTATACTATTTTGTGCATTTTATTACTATCCAAATCTAATCTGATTTGAACTGGTTGGTAGTGGTATGTGACTAATTTGATATGTGGCTGAAATAAGTTGAAGTGAAAGGTCCCAAGTAACAGGATTTAAATTACCTTCACAACTTACAAGAGAGAAGTGAAAATTTCAGTTAAATGTTTCAGCCCATGCAAAATTATCATCCCTCCACGGCATGTTCATATTTAACTAACTCCCTCTTCACTATGAACAAGATATATATTACTGCAAACTACCAGCTAGGTAGCTACTAGCTAGTATACTTGAGTGTTCTTTCAAAGTTAACACTAATACACTACACTAATACAGTAGATATTTGGTGCCATGCATCATGTCTTATATTGCTATTTGCTATCTCACAATTTGAAGGTTTGAAGAAACTATTGAAAAGAAAAAAGCTGAAATGACAAGGACTGAATCATTCTTATAATTCTAAGGACAAAGCAAACAACAAGCAAATATAGTTTATATTCACTATTTTTTGTTACATCGGAACTCGGAAGTGATAGTTTATATTCACTATACACAATCGCTAACTGAGAGAACCTTCACGCATCATCAATTTACACAAGGAGTATCTTTCATAAAAACTCAGAAACCCAAAATGACGAATTATCAAAATAATAAGCTCAAAAAACGGCAAGGAATAAACCCATTTCAACATAGATTTAACCGCATCAGTCAAACCAACCAATTAGTAATATAATCAAGAGTTACAGAAGATTGGTGTGGAGTGAAACGGAACGCGGAGCTGACCAAGAGTGGCGGGGGTGTCATAAAAAATGGTGGAGGCTTGGACCACGGTGGCGCGGACGGTGGAGGCATCAGCCGCCATTTCCACTTCAGCGAAGAGAGGTTCTTCGTTCACCGTTTGGGGAACCAGAGCCATTTCCCTTAGCTCGATAGCGACGATGATCTCGCTCTACAACAGCTGGGGCTGGAGCTGGCTGCTATCGGGTTTGACTGCAACGTACTCCCCACTTACCTCACCCCATCTTTTAACTTTTTGGGCGATAAAAATCCAGCTGGGCAATTCGGTTCGGTTTATGTTCAGTTTTCTTCGGTTTCGGTTTATTCGGGTTGAGAGAATTCATACCAAATTAAAACAATTTTAGTTTCGGTTCGGTTTCGATTCGGTTCGGTTTGAAGTTCGGTTTACCAAAGTAAAAAATATTATGTTTAATTTAGTTTGATTTGATTCGTTTGTTTATGTTTATTATTTTATTTGATCAAGTTCTATATTTTAAAATTAGAAAATGAAAGTAGTAGTTCATCTAATCTTTTTTTAATTTATTGAATATATAAATAAAATGTAAAAGGAAATAAAAGATAGGAAAATAAATACAAAAATATTATAAAATAAAACTTCTAACATCTTTTTTATCACTACAAAAAATTCACTTATTACAAAAAATAAGATAATTGATTAGCATTTATAATATCACATAGATTATTCAAAAAAACCTCAGAGAGTCGGTCGTACAAATGTTGTAATATTCACAATTTTATTCAAATGAATCATGTAAAAATATAAATGCAATTTGCTATTGTTATCGCCAAACATAATAAATACAAATATGTCGTATTAGCTAACTTTGTCATAATGAATGTATGAAATGTGTTAAAGTTAAAATGATACGAGTATATGCTTAAATATGTATTTTCATGTCTAAATTATTCATTTATATCTTAAAAATGAAGAGTGAAGATAAATACAAAGTATATATATATATGGGAAAGATCAAGTACAAACTGTGCTTATTGTGCAAATGTCAATACGGTGTACATTGACGTTATTTGCATTGCATATTGAGGTTCAAAGTATTGCATATTATATATTCATAAAATAGCAGTTGCACATTTACGTTCAACGAGTTGCACCCTAGAAAAGTTAGGTTTTATTACAAAAAGGTCACCTTGCCTATATATCCTTTAGATCAACTCATCAGATGGCCAAGATAAGTTTGTACTTTGTAAATTAAGCATGATTTGTATTTGATCTCTATTCTGTGTGTGTGTGTATACTAGCCTGGACGCGCGTTGCGCGACAAACGATGCCCAACAGTTGTAGAATAAATGGGAAAGAAATGGTATTAGGAGATTTAGCGACATGCATGCAGGACATTGAATACAGCCGGTCAATCTGTGTTCACATGCATAATGCCAATGTATGTGTACCTAACACAGTAAGCAGATGGGAAAAAGAGGATGGTTTTGGCGGGCACAGGTGTGTACCATCAACGCAAAAAATTCAGTAGTTCAGTGCGCTTTACTACATGAAAGCAGGCATTAAGCACCGGAGACGTGGCGTCCCTGATTCAAAGTTTAGGCTAAATGTTACAGCAAAAGATCAGGGCCTGCAGCCATTTAAAGTATGTTTCAGTTGCACACAGCAAAGCAAAAGAGCATAATTTATAAAATTCTGGATTAGGAAGTTCCTGAGTAGTTGGCGCATATCGGTGTGCAGATTTCATATGTGTTGGTGCGTTTAGGGGGCTCTTCCGGTCCACATTCTGAGATTGACATCAGTAGTGCCCTACCACGTCCATGTTTGATAAAGGCTAGAGTGGTCTGTCGATGGAGGTGGAAAGTCTTCTGAATGTCACGTAACATTGACTCTTCCCTAACAATGGAGAGCTGAGACTGCTTTCCGTAGAACACCTGCAGACGCCCCCTCATGTCAGTGCACGAACGCAAAAACACCTCACAGAACCTCTGTATTGAACAAATAAGAGCACATTGTAAGAATTCTTTTGCTAATATGGCAATGGTACAGAGTACAATATGCAAGTTTCGATGGGAAACTAAATATAGTAAGTTCACCCAATTATATATAATTATGCAAGTTCCACCAGAGCGCCTAAAATGAATATAGTAAAAATTGTTAATATTGAAATTGAAATTTTAATGTAGAAAACAATTCAAATATTAAAGGTATTATGGTTTTTTTTATTAAAAAAGTGGAGTAACTTTCTAACAATTATATAATAATTATTAACTAACCTCACAGATGATATTCTAGATGCAACCTCTTCTTCTGGATCGGTCAAATACATCTGTAAGAATTTTGGACGTTGTCCTTCATTTGGTATAAGACTACCGATCTTGTGGTAATTTTGACCATTCAATCTGAATATTGGAGGTGTTCTACCCTTATTTATATCTGTATCCGTTCTCCCACCCATCGAAGTGAAAGCAAACATAGAATTGTAAGAACGAATGTTATCCAGAAAGTGCTTACTTCGATGCTCAGAGCGAAATATGAGGTCATTTAAAATTTTAGGGGGTTGCTGCATATTAGGGAGAACAACATTTCCTTGATTGCAACACATTGAAAACTTTGGACGTTGCTTGACTGAATGTCTCTTTACCCTTTCAGCATACCAGAATAAGGCTCCACAATACTCGCACTCATGAGTAGCATCTCCACGATCCACATATTCTACAAAAATGATTCTTAATAAATATAAAAAAAAAGATGTTTTCCAACTATTTAAATGTGGTTAAAAATAGAGTTAAAAATACTTGTAGTGGTAAGTACCTTGTGTATTGAAACACAAGTACACATCAGCATTGTCATCTATTCAAAATTGAATAATTAAAAATCAAGTTAAAAATAATTCAACGGTTTAGGTTACAAAAACATTTCACACCAAAAGAACATATATGTTCATAGTTTGAAAATGTATTGTTATGTACCGTAATCTTCAAAGTCACCCAAGTCAACATCAATTGACTCGTCAAACATCCCTTCATCTTCAAACTCTGGAAACATGAAAATTTATTTTTGTTTGCGATTTTTCTCCCCGATAAACGAAGTAAGTATACTCTCTCGGAAAAATTTAAAGACATTTAACAATTTATAGATGAAGGTCAAATTATTTAATGAAATAACTTACCTTCATTATCTAGGTCTATGCCAGAACCAAGAGTATCAAAATTGCTAGATCCAGCTACATCTTCCTCATAAGTTGACTGGTCACTCACAAGTGGTCGTTTTCCGTTGACATTTATTATTTCTATGGCTTTCTGCATCTAACTCCTAATGCAAGTTCATAGACAAAACACACACACATATTTTTATGTTTAGAGTAGCTTGTAAACTGAAAAAGTGTGCATTTACTAAGAGTCTAAAATGTAATGCTACTTGTAATTTTATAAGTTGACGATTTTATTACTTAAATTTGTGATAAATGTGTCCAACTTAATAATTGATTGATAAAATTTTATTATAACAATATTAACAATTTTCCGAAAATAATAGAAAGGTTGTATATGTCAGAATTTATAATTGGCAGTATAAATATAATTAATTACTAATAATATATAAGGAACTTTGAGTGTCAATTATACTTCAAATATATATAAATATTAATATTATAGATACAGTTAGATTAAGGATACAAATATTATCTACTATTCTTATTTTGGATAGGCGTGTATGGGATATGAAAACATGAGATACAACTCTTAGTTGTTCTTTAATTACTGCCTAATAATTAATGAAGGCATCGTAGTAGTGTTTTAGTGTGCCATTATAATTGAGTTATTACTAATTTAGTGTTTAAGTCAATATACTTACAACTCTTGATAGAATATATGTTAATTAAGTTAAAAAATTCATCACCGCACTTTGCCACTATCAAATAAGTGTTCTTTTTATTATAATAAAAATTCATCTTTGAGTTAAAGTATAAAGAGTTCAGTTTTGTTTATAATAAATTAACTTCTGGTTCATCAACAATGGTAGTTCAACCACGACCTTCTTTTTTTGAGCTCCTTGTAGTGAATTTCCATCGATCCTTGTTTAGAGAAATCGATGGACGATTTGTTGTGGAGCCTGCGGATCTCGTGGCGGCAAGCTTTCATTCCGGCAACTAATGCTTGTAGCCTTTGCAGACGTCATGACCTCCTTCTCCCTACAGAGACGACGGCAACAGATGCAAGCAACAATAAAATCGCAGAACTGAGATGGAAAGAAAGGATAGATCATTGCAGAAGGCATGGTGGGAATGAAATATGAGGGATGGTGATGGAGGGTCGGTGATGAAGGGTCGGTTGTAAGAGAATGGTGGAAAAGAAATGAAAAGAAGAGTAAAGTTCATTTGAGGGGTAGGTGAATAGGAAAGATACGGAAAGTGAAAAGAGGAAGTGAAAGGAAAAATCTGAACCGTGCAGATCATTTTAAACTAAACCCAGCGGGAGTTTATCCTATTTACTGACCATCTTGCCTTGAAATTTCTGCATAGCCAGAAAATCATAAACAAGATGCACGCACGATGGGTGAGTTATCTGCAAAAATTTCCCTTTATTATTCAACATAAATCTGGAATTCAGAACAAGGTAGCCGATGCTTTGAGTCGAAGAGCTTCCTTGTTAATCACATTAGCCCAGAATATTGTAGGCTTTGAGTTGCTGAAAGAGCTATATGAGAATGACCCTGATTTCCACGAATTATGGGCTAAGTGTCGTGATCTACATCCGAGTGCAGATTTTCATATTAACGAGGGCTACCTTTTTAAGGGAGACCGACTTTGTGTTCCCCGAACTTCACTACGAGAGCAGTTAATTCGTGAATTGCATGGAGGTGGACTTAGTGGGCATCTGGGTAGGGATAAGACTATTGCTAACCTCGAGGAACGTTATTTTTGGCCTCACCTGAAGAAAGATGTCAGTACCATTGTTCGGGAGTGTTATACCTGTCAGGTTTATAAGGGCCAGTCCCAAAACACTGGTCTATATATGCCTCTGCCCATTCCGGATGACATATGGCAGGACCTCTCTATGGACTTTGTGCTGGGTTTACCTCGTACACAGAGAGGTGTGGATTCCGTGTTCGTGGTGGTTGATAGATTTTCCAAGATGTCCCATTTTATAGCCTGCAAGAAAACTGCGGATGCCTCTAATATAGCCAAATTATTTTTCAGGGAGATAGTGCGTTTACATGGAGTTCCTAAATCCATTACTTCGGATAGGGACACCAAATTTCTGAGTCATTTCTGGATTACTTTGTGGCGGTT